AAGGCCCGCAGCGGTGGCTCAAGCCTGGTAATTCCCACCCACTTTGGGAAAGGCCAAGACGGCGGAACACGAGGGTCAGGAGATCCAGGAACCATCCTGGCTAACACCGGTGGAAACCCGTCTCTACTTAAAAAATACAAAAAACCAGCCGTGCGAGGTGGCAGGCGCCCTGTAGTTCCCCAGATACTCAGGAGGCCCTGAGGCAGGAGAATGGCGTCAACCCCAGGAAGCGAGCTTTGGGCGTGAGCCTGAGAATCCGGCCACTGCCACTTCAAGCCTGCGACAGAGTGGAAGTCCATCTCAAAAAAAGAAAAAAAAAAAAAATTGAGCTGATCCCATTTTGTTACTTTTTTTTTTTTTTTTGCTGTTTCTGGAAGTTTTTAGATCATTCTCTGTTTTCAATGTTTTCTAAAATTTCACAATACCTGATGGGATCTGTTTTCCTTCCACCGATGTATATGCCAATCACACTGTTTCATCCACTGTGATGTATCATTAGGTTTTTTTTTATTCTGGAAAATCGAGGTCTTGGTGGTTATAAGAATTTTCCCTGGAATTATTTTGTTGATTTTTTCCTCCTCCTACATTTTTAAAATTCTGGTCTTTCAGGGCTCCTCTTACTCGAACTTTGGCTGGGAATATTCTTATAACTGAACCTCTCCTATCTTTTTAACCCGTCTTTCCAATTTTTTAAATATACTATCCTTTCTACTTTCTAAGAAATTCCCTCCAATCATATTCCAAATTCTTTTTTTTTTTTCCTCTCTTTTTTTTTTTTTTTTTTCGAGACGAGTCCTTTGCTCTTGGTCGTCCCAGGCTGCAGTGCAGTGGCACAATCTTTGGCTCACCTGCAAGCTCCCGCCCTCCCGGGTTCATCAGCCATTCCTCCCTGCCCTTCAGCCTCCCGTGGTAAAGCTGGGAACTAACAGGCACCCGCCACCCCGGCACCCCGCTAATTTTTTGGGTATTTTTAGTAGAGCAGGGGGTTCACCATGTTTAGCCTCATGATGGTCCTTCGATCCATCCTGACCCGATCGTGGATCCTCCCATCTTCGCCTCCCAATAGTGCTGGAATACAAGGCGTGAAGCCCACTGCGCCTGGGCCTCATCTTCCAAATTCTTTTTATTGAATTACTTTTTTTTTTTTTTTTTTTTTTGAGATGTAGTCTTTGCCCTCTCAACCCACGGCCTGTAGTGTAATGGCACAATACTCAGCTAATCTGCAAACCTCTGGCCTCCCGGGTTTAAGCCAATTCTCCTCGCCTCAGCCCTCCGCTGAGTAGCTGTGATTACACGGTGGCGCACCACCACGCCCCAGCTAATTTTATTTATTTTTTTTATTTTGTATCTTTAGTAGAAACGGGGTTTCACCAATGGATTGGCCAGGCTGGGTCTCCGAACTCCTGATCCTTGGTGATACACCTGCCTCAAAAAGCCCTCCCAAGTGCCTGGGATTGCAGGCGTGAGTTCCACCAGCCCGGCCTTCCAACTTGATTTCTAAGAATTTTTTTATCTGGAATTTTTTCCATGTACAGCCACCTTTGTTATTTTTTCTTGGTACAAGTAAACTCCTTAATTTCTAAACTTTCTCTTATAATAATTGTTTATTTCAATGGTGCTTCTTTTCTGGAATCAGAATCTTCCATGTTAAAACAACTACCGCTCATACGTCTTGGTAAAATCCTTGTGTTATTTGCTCCTTAGTAAGAGAAAATGGGACCTAGGCCGGCACAGGTGGCTCAATGCCTGTAATCCCCAGCACTTTAGGAAGGCTGAGGCGGGTGGATCCCCTGGCGATCAGGAGTTCGAGACCAGACTGGCTTCACCATGGTGAAACCCCGCGTCTCCTAGTAAAAAATACAAAAAATTATGGCAGGCGTGGTGGCGCATGCCTGGTAGTACCCAGCTACTATTAGGAGTGCTGGAAGCACGAGAATCCACTTGAAACCCAGGAGGCGAGGTGCAGTGAACTGAGAATCGTGCCATTGCCAACATCCAGCTTGGGCAACAAGAGTGAAAACTCCCGCATCCAGAAAAAAAAAAAAAAAAGAAATAACCTATTTGATTTAACATTTGTATAACCTGTTGTCTACTTTTTTATTGTAGTATTTTATATACACAATTCTAACACTTTTTATATTTGTATATTTTTATATACACATTCACATTGTTTCATAATTAGAATCATACCATATATTTTTAGTTTGTGTCTTTCTTCACCTAATCATTTTCCAATGTCAGAACATAATCCTTTTTTTTTTTTCTTTTTTTGAGATGGAGCCTCACTTTTTCGCCCAGGTTGGAGTACAGTGGCGTGATCTTGGCTCACTACAGACTACGCCTCCCAGTTTCAAGCAGATCTCACGCCTCAACCTCCTGAGTAGCTGGGATTACAGGCATGCACCACCACACATGGCTATTATTATTATTATTATTATTTGAGATGGAGTCTTGCTCTGTCGCCTAGGCTGGAGTGCAGTGGCGCGATCTCGGCTCACTGCAACCTCCACCTCCCAGGTTCAAGCAATTCTCCTGCCTCAGCCTCCAGAGCAGCTGCGATTATAGGCACCTGCCACCATACCCGGCTAATTTTTTGTGTTTTAGTAGAGACAAGGTTTCACCATGTTGGTCAGTCTGGTCTTGAACTCCTGACCTCGTGATCCACCCACCCTGACCTCTCAAAGTGCTGGGATTGCAGGCATGAGCCACCACGCCCAGCAACATTTTGTATTTTTAGTAGAGATGGGATTTTGCTATGTTGGCCAGGCCAGTCTAGAACTCCTGGCCTCAAGTTATCTGCCTGCCTCGGTCTCCCAAAGTGTTGGGACTGCAGGCGTGAGCCACTGTAATTGACCCTAATCTTTGAAAACAAAATTTCTAATGGTTTTGTAATACAGTGTGACTGTCATATAACTTTATCATGATTTATTTAACTATTGTCCCATTGATAAAGATTTCTATTTCTTCCAGTTTTTTTTTTCTTCCCTAATCTAAGTTAGTCTATACTGTAAGCTTTATGTAGTCTGGAAATGTCCATCTTGTTCGTCATTCTGTCTTCAATGCTTAGCCCACTGTCTCATGTGGAGCAGTGGTTCAGGGAATGTTTGTTAAGACAACAGTTTTGAACAAAACTGATTATTTCTTTAAGTTAAAATCTATGAAGGGCTATTACTGGGTTAAAAGATAAAACTTTTTAAAGGTTCTCAATAATTTATTTTTCTTTTTTTTTTTCAGAATAAGAAACAAGGATGTAAAAATGAGGAGGTACTTGCTGTACTAGGCCATGAACTGGGGCACTGGAAGTTGGGACATACAGTCAAAAATATCATTATTAGCCAGGTAAGTGTGGAGTGATAATTATTTTTTTATGGCATGGTAGTCAAATTAGAACTATGGCAGGCATGAGAGGTCATATAAGAGAGGTCAAGACAGACACCACAGCCAGGCTACCTGGTTTCCCATCACAGCTGCCTGACTTACTACCGGTGTGACCTCAGCCAAGTTCCTTAACCTCTGCCTCTGTCTCCTTATTGAATGATAATACCTCATAGGACTGTTTAAGAATTAAGTGAGTTAATACATGTAAAGATTTTAGACTAGCACCTGGAATGTGGTGAGCACTATATAAATTATTATTATCACCACCATCACCTCCAGAGTAAGAACTTGGAAGATCAAAGGAAACAAGCCTAGATAAGTTGGACATTAAAATGCTTTTTTAAAATTAAATTAAAAATTTTTTTTGAGACGGAGTCTCACTCTGTCACCCAGGCTGGAGTGCAGTGATGTGATCTCGGCTCACTGCAACCTCTGCCTCTCAGGTTCAAGTGATTCTCCTATCTCAGCCTCCTGAGTAGCTGGGACTACAAGCACCCACCACCATCCCTGGCTAATTTTTGTATTTTTAGTAGACACGGGGTTTCACCATGTTGGCCAGGCTGGTCTCGAACTCCTGACCTCAGGTGATGCACCCGCCTCAGCCTCCCAAAGTGCTGGGATTATAGGCGTGAACCACTGTGCCCACCCTAAAATGCTTTTTTTTTTTTGAGATGGAGTTTTGCTCTTGTTGTCCAAGCTGGAGTGCAATGGCGCGATCTCAGCTCACTGCAGCCTCTGCCTCCCAGGTTCAAGCAATTCCCCTGCATCAGCCTCCTGAGTAGCTGGGATTACAGGCACGCACCACCACACTGGACTAGTTTTTTTTTTTTTTTTTTTTTGTATTTTTAGTAGAAACGCGGTTTCTCCACATGAGCCAGGCTGGTCTCGAACTCCTGACCTCAGCTGATCTGCCCGCCTCAGCCTCCCAAAGTGCTGGGATTACAGGCGTGAGCCACCACGCCCAGTCTAAAACATTTTTTTCATTTAAAAGTTATTATTGCCAGGCGTGGTGGCTCACGCCTATAATCCCAGCACTTTGGGGATCACTTGAGGTGAGGAGGTCGAGGCCAGCCTGGCCAACATGGTGAAGCCCCATCTCTACTAAGAATACAAAAATTAGCCAGGCGTGGTGGCACACCTGTAATCCCAGCTACTCGGGAGGCTGAGGCAGAATTGCTTCAACCCAGGAGGCAGAGGTTGCAGCGAGCTGAGATCATCCCAGTGCACTCCAGCCTGGGTGACAGAGCGAGACTCCTTCTCAAAAAAAAAAAAAAAAAAAAAAAAAAAAAAGTTGTGTATTCATTGGAAATTGCAGAAAATACAAAAAGAAAGCAATTCCAATAATGTTCCTCCTCTGGGTTCTAGAACCTCTAAACCAACAGATGTTTAGACTTTGGGTGAAAAAGCACTGTATCATGTTGACTAGTTCTGAGCATATGTGGCCTTAACTGAATCTTAGTGGGTTTTCAGACCTTTAAAAAGGCTGGCTGAGCCAGGCATAGTGGCTCATGCCTGTAATCCCAATACTTTGGAAGGTTGATGAGGGAGGATCACTTGAGGCCAGGAGTTTGAGACCAGCCTAGGCAACATAGCAAGACCCCTTCTCTCCAAAAGGTTAAAAAATTAGCTGGGCTTGGTGGTATGCACCTGTAGTCCCAGCTACTTGGGAGGCTGGGATGGGAGGATGGCTTGAGTCCAGGAGATCAAGGCTGTAGTGAGCCATGATCACACCACTGCACTTCCAGCCTGGGTGACAAGGAGACCCTGTCTCTAAAAAAAATTAAAATAAAAAGGCCAGCTGGTTCTGGGTGATGAATTACAAGGGAAGACTTGTGAACTCCTGTGGGCACTTTCCTGTATCTTTAGGTATAGAAATGCATTCCTTGGCTTGAAGCTGTGTTGTGTGGATACATGGCACTGAGTAAGACTAAATAAATCCAGGTCCAAATTCAATTGAATTTTCAGTCTAATAAGGAAAATCACTGCCCCTTCCATGAGGGAAGGGTTCCAATGGAATCAGCCTACCACAAGGTGGTTGGCTGGTCCCTGAGATGTGGTACCTTATCAAGACTGGGACTGATTGCTTCTCCGGACAGACTGGACACATGGCAGGTGCCAGTGAGGAGGGTATCTGTGTTGACTAATACGTTAACTCCATCTTTGTCACTGTGGCCACTCTATTCATAAGTCCCTTGACTAAGTCATGGAGTGGCTACAGAGAAAGGCTAGCTGACCTTCACAGAGCAGGTGTCTTCCCCAGTTGACCAAGAGCCTCCTTGACTGTGGGACTCTTTCGGTGAACATTAACATTAGGCCACCTATAATCAAACTCTGCAGTAATTTTGGAAGTTTTGTCACATACCTCTTTGCCAAATCTCCTTGTTAGCCATCCTCTACTTTTTTCCAAGGCCCTAATTATCCAGCCGAACCATTTTTTTCCCACTGCCAATGAATTAGGATATATATCCTTGCCTCAGGCTCTCTCTCCTCCCAGGCTGAGTGGACAGTGAGATATACACCTTCAAGTTCCCCTCACCGAGACTATATCCCTTCACCGCCACCTTCCAAGACCATCCCTGAGTGGCTCTGTAATGCCACAGCAGTCCACTTTCATCTGGTGCCAGCATATTGTGTTAAGTTATTTGTAAAATAGGCTCTGATTTTTTTCCTGTTCAACTAATTGATTATAGGAAATGGCTTATGAGTAAGGGTTGGTTGAGGGTTGTTGGTGGCAGGAGTTGGTGTACTAGAGTATGAGCCACCTGCTTATTTAACTTACTGGTGCCTTCATAACTTGCTTCATTTCCACTCTTATATCTATCACTTATGCTTGATGATGAAGTGTTTCTGGGCATACCAGTTTCCTGGCTAGGCAGATTAACATAGCATCCAGTTCAGGAGGAATAGTTCAGGTTGCAGGATCATGGTATCCCATGACCAGGAATTCAGTCTGCAGTAGGGCCCAGTAGCAAACCAAAAGTTATTTTTCAAAAGGACAATGGTTACTTGACAAAAGTGGATGCATAGATGATAAGTGTAGGAGACTTCACTGAGTTTTCTGTTGGAGCTTGTCATATGGATCCACTGAGTGATAAGGATGAGGGCGAAGCTGCTTGTCCTTTGTCCTGGAGCAGCTGGTGAGCCTTCTTACGCTCCGAGCCCCATTCTAAGCTGACAGCTTCTTGGGTTGTCTCGTAAATGGTTTGGAGCAACACACTTAAATAAGGTCCATGTGGCCTCCAAGATCCTAATTTGCTACAGAAAAAGAATGTTGTGTGTTCTCCAACCTTACTCAAAGAGGTTGTATTTTGGTATAGATTTTTTTTTTTTTTTTTTTTTGTTGGAGACGGAGTCTCGCTCTGTCGCCCAGGCTGGAGTGCAGTGGCCGGATCTCAGCTCACTGCAAGCTCCGCCTCCCGGGTTTACGCCATTCTCCTGCCTCAGCCTCCCGAGTAGCTGGGACTACAGGCGCCCGCCACCTCGCCCGGCTAGTTTTTTTGTATTTTTTTTAGTAGAGACGGGGTTTCACTGTGTTAGCCAGGATGGTCTCGATCTCCTGACCTCGTGATCCACCCGTCTCGGCCTCCCAAAGTGCTAGGATTACAGGCTTGAGCCACCGCGCCCGGCCTGGTATAGATTTTTTATTTTTTTCCCCACTCATTTATTGTTCAAGATGGATCTACTTTCTCCCCTGACCTTTCTAACTATTCGGTACAGTCCAGTGGGCCTAGAGAGGATTCAAGGGAAGCCTGTTGCTTTGGAGCCTCCACTTCAAAGTCAGGTGGGAGACGTTGTATCTGATTACAGTCTTATAAAACAAGGCCAGAATCCATTCTAGCACTTCACCCTTTACAGAGAGAAAATATCCCATTGCTATTGACCACTTCAAACCCTCAATGATAGGAGGCTCAACTGAAGCTTGCCCTTATAGAAAATGATACAGTTTATACATTTGGGAACATTTTGTTTTACTTTTGAAATAAAAGTGAAACTAAAAACTACTGGCGGGGCAGGATGGCTCATGCCTATAATCCCAGCACTTTGGGAGGCTGAGGTGGGTGGATCACCTGAGGTCAGGAGTTCAAGACCAGCCTGGCCAAAATGGTGAAATCTCGTCTCTACTAAAAATATAGAAAAGTTAGCTGAGCATGGTGGCAGGCTCCTGTAATCCCAGCTACTTGGGAGGCTGAGACTGGAGAATCGCTCAAACCCAGGAGGCAGTGGTTGCAATAAGCAGAGATTGTGCCACTATAATCCAGCCTGGGCAACAGAGTGAGACTCCGTCTCAAAAAAATAAAAATAAGTAAAAACTACTTAAATAATTTGTTCTGTGATCACACTGATACCTTTCTTAAGATCACACTATGATTTCTTTTTTGTTGTCGTTTTTTTGAGACGGAGTCTCGCTCTGTTGTCTAGGCTGGAATGCAGTGGCACGATCTCAGCTCACTGCAAGCTGTGCCTCCCGGGTTCAAGCCATTCTCCAGCCTCAGCCTCCCGAGTAGCTGGGACTACAGGCGCCCGCCACCATGCCCAGCTAATTTGTTTGTATTTTTAGTAGAGACAGGGTTTCACCGTGTTAGCCAGGGTGGTCTCGATCTCCTGACCTTGTGATCCACCGCGCCCGACCACACTTTGATTTCTTATACTTTATGGATGCTACTGTCCCATAGTGAAATCAGCTTGGTAATAACTTAGAAATTTCATGTCCTTCTTTCTAGATGAATTCTTTCCTGTGTTTTTTTTTATTTGCTGTATTAATTGGTCGAAAGGAGCTTTTTGCTGCATTTGGTTTTTATGATAGCCAACCCACTCTAATTGGACTATTGATCATCTTCCAGTTTATTTTTTCACCTTACAATGAGGTAATGTATGATCTTTAAAATTATCACACATACGCTCTTACCTGCTTCAAATCTAGAGCTTTCAGGATAGTGGAAAAGGAAATAGAACAGTACAGTTTTAACAAATAGATGAAACAAAGTCTTTTAGTCCCTGGATTTACTGGTCAGTATGACAAAGTAGCAGAAAAATTCAAGCCCAAATAAATAAACGCTTGCATACTCTTAGGAAAATGTAAGTAGAAAATTAGACTTCAGTGGTGAACACCTAAAAGGACTCGGTAGAATGTTGTGTCCTAGGCCACATATTCACCAGTGCTTGGGTAAAAATCTTACGTGTGTGAGGGGACAAAGCAAACACTAATTGAGTCTGTGTACGGCTCAGTAAGGGAGGCTTAGTGACTGTTCCTCTGCTCCATGACCACCTGCCTCCATATAGCCTGAGGGATCCACCCAAACCCACAGAATCAAAATCAGGTATTTTGTGGTAAATGAAACTTAAGAACATTGCTCTGTGTTAGCTCATTAGGGGCATTCTGTGTGAGTGATAATACATAGGTTAATGAGACTATATAACAAACCTGACAGTGGCAACATTTCCTCATGTTTGGTAAGGCTTCCAAATTACACTAAGAAATAATATCGAAGATCCTGAGGTATCTCCATTCAGAAGAATTCTTTCTTGGGATAGATTGCAGAGTTAAGATGAGCTAAATGAATCATATTTTTCTATTATGTATGGTGGGGACCCCAAGAAAGAAAAATGGAGGGGCATAGATCATATTCATATAACATTTTCCGCATAAACCAAATAAATTTGGCAGAGGACTGAGATGTATTATCTTTAAACTCTTTTTTTTTTTTAAGATGGAGTCTCACTCTGTCTTCCAGGCTGGAGTGCGGGGGTGTCATCTTGGCTCACTGCAACCTCCCTCTCCCGGGTTCAAGCAATTCTCCTGCCTCAGCCTCCCGAATAGCTGGGATTCCAGGCGCCCATCACCACGCCTGGCTAATTTTAGTATTTTTACTAGAAACGGGGTTTCACCATCTTGGCCAGGTTGGTCTTGAACTCCTGACATCAGGTGATCCGCCTGTCTCAGCTTCCCAAAGTGCTGAGATTACAGGTGTGAGCCACCTCACCCGGCCTGAGCATGACTTTTGAGTCTCATGTCAGCACTCAAAAGTTTCAGATTTTGGAACATTTCAGATTTCAAGTTTTCGGTTAGGGATGTTTAACTTGTATATGTGTTTCTGGCCTGTTTGCTTGGGGGAAAATAAGGCTCAATTTATAACTTCCTCACCCTAGGTCCCCTAAATATTAGTGATCTTTCTTTTGTCCTGCCATTCCTCTTATCCCAAGCCAAACTTCCTCTACAGTCTCAGCTCATGGAACCTTCAGTAACAACAAAGAGGTAGACAGTGGCTAAAACCCTTTCATTTACTTTTTCAGGTTCTTTCTTTTTGCCTAACAGTCCTAAGCCGCAGATTTGAGTTTCAAGCTGATGCATTTGCCAAGAAACTTGGGAAGGCTAAAGACTTATATTCTGCTTTAATCAAACTTAACAAAGATAACTTGGGATTCCCTGTTTCTGACTGGTTGTTCTCAATGTGGCATTATTCTCATCCTCCACTGCTAGAGAGACTTCAAGCTTTGAAAAGTATGAAGCAACACTGAGATGCCCAGGGTCTGTGACTGAAGACATTCTGATTATTTCTGTCCTGGCAGCATGTTCCAGCTCTTGATGTTTTTAAACTTTTTTTTAAAAGAAAAATTAAGTACAGAAAAGCCCAGATTTAAATACGTTTAATATGTCATTTCAAAAATGATTTTAATAATTCATTTCTTAAAGAAAACACCGAATGAATTTTGAAGCTTAATGTTTTTAAAGGCATAGTTTTATCTTTGACATCTAATTTACCATCAAGTTGTAAAATTGTTTGGAAAAATACAGAACTTGTTTTATTTATATACTTACATGGAAACTGCATGTGAGGTGTTTGAGGGCATATGTTTGAAAGAGGGAGCACCACCTCGGGAATCCTTTCTGTGAGGCGGAAACCGTGGTCCTGAATCGTTGTGCTCATACCTAAGTTGAAATCTGGTCTTACTTTCATGCTGTTATGATTTCATCTGGTGAATCAGTGTTTTAAATAAGAAAGGTAATAGTTGGTAAGGCCAATATTATTTAAATGAAAGTAGTTAGAAAAATGCTCTCCTACCAAATTTTAAATTTCTCTCTTCCCTCTCTTGCTACACACTGATCAAGAGTTTTTCATAGTGCTTTGAAGTTAGAAATTATGTATAGGATATTTTAAATCATTGAGTTTTGTGTTTTGTTTGTTTTCATTTTTTGGAAAATCTCTGTCTTTATCTTTTTTTCCCACATGGTAAATATGATCCCATTGGGAGTAAATTGTAGCTTTTTCTCATTCATGTAGTAAATAATACATCCTTTCACTTAGCAGAGATGGCCATATTAAACACGTTTTGCTATGTTAAAAGTGGCAGAACATGAAAGACAAATTAAAAATAACATTTTTTAAGCGACATAAGGGTGAAATGAATCTCTATGACATTTCGGGAAAAAATATAGTTTTCTATCTCTTTCAAGGGCAGAAGAGTTTTCATTTTTATTTTTGTAATTTTATCTGTAAGTCGTAAGTACTGCTTAATCAGGCCTGATTCTACTTTTGAAAATTACAGTTCTGGAAATGCAGATAATGTTTACTTTGAAAACAAATGTCATGAAAGATTTCCAGTTTTTAAAGCTGTATGTTTCACTGCTTCATATCTCTGTCCACTTTCTGAATGAGAACTTAGTTTGTGCCTAGAGCTGTCACTCACTGATAATGCTTACCTTCTGGGCATTTATTCCAAAGTGGGATCGACTGTGCGCCTTTGGTATCTGACCATAAAGTCTTTTGTTCCACTGACATTTGGGTGATGTCTTCACATGGAAATATAATAAAAGTGAAAATCTAGTTTAGTACTGCATTATTTATTTTCCTGAGGCTAAAGAGGAGCAGTCCTATGCCTTTTATTCAGCATCCTTTATCTGTGACTTCATGCTCTGATAACTGCCTTTCCTTCCTTCTGTGCCTTTGAATACAAATTTCAGTTCTGCAAAAGTTAAACATTAAACATTGCCAATGCAAATGTATGTACTTTGTCTTTAGTTTGATATTTGTGTATCATTTGTTTAATTTGTGTATCGTTTGTTACCTGAACGTATGTTTATTACCCAAGAGGAACTAGGTGCTAGCAATGAAGAGGGGAATGAAGAAATAGCCCTAATGATGAGTGGTGTCAGCACCACCTAATGATGAGTGTCAGCACCACCACTCATCATTAGGCTTTACACAGAGTCTCTTCAGTGGCTTCCTCCTCCTCTGCTCCAGAGTATCACCAGTTCTTGCAGATATTTCCTTGGAAGCTTCATTTGGAACCATTCCTTCTCCATTTTTATAACCTCAAATTGTTGGGCCTGCCTGGTCTGCTCCAGTTGCCTCTTTGGTTTTCCTTACATATGGTGGCAGTAATTAGCTTTTAAATATGTGACTGACTTAGTCACCCACACTTTATGGATGGCAGAGGCATAGGGATGGCCAAAAGGATACTGGTAGGTTCCTGAGATATTGACCAGTCACTGGTGGGTTCCTGAGATACTGACCAATCAAAGGAAGAGTAGATAGGCCCACCAAAAAAGGAAGAGATGCCACTTTGCACCCTAAGACTTGGTGGATGTGCAGCAGGGGCAAAATTGAGTAGGTCAGAGACTTGGGTAAAATGGCACAACTCCAGCAGAGTTAAGCTCTGAATCTAAGGTAGAATCTCTGTTGTGTGTATATACTGGCTTTATCTGAGTTGGTCCTTTGCTGAGGTCTGAGAACTGCTTGTAAATTCTGCCTCTGTTTAGGATAGGAGAATTCCCAGGATCAGTTCAGTGGTTTTAGAACCAAATGAGGGTCCCAGCTTGCCCTTATGCTTTATATGCTTATTGTTACCGCTGATCCTACATGTGATATTCCCTCCCTAGGAAACCTTCTACTTGGTCTTTTTTTTTTTTGAGGAGTTTCTCTCTTGTTGCCCAGGCTGGAGTGCAATGAATGCCCTGATCTCAGCTCACCACAACCTCCGCCTCCTGGGTTCAAGCGATTCTCCTGCCTCAACCTCCCGAGTAGCTGGGATTACAGGCTTGCGCCACCACGCCTGGCTAATTTTTTGTATTTTTAGTAGAGGTGGGATTTCACCATGTTACCCAGGCTGGAGTGCGGTGGTGTGATCTCGGCTTACTGCAACCTCTACCACCTAGGTTCAAGAGATTCTCCTGCTTTTCAGCCTCCTGAGTAGCTGGGATTACAGGCATGTGAGCCACCACATCCAGCTAATTTTTGTATTTTTTTCTTTTCTTTTCTTTTCTTTTTTTTTTTTTTTTTTTTTTTTAAGACTCTCTCTCTCTTGCCCAGGCTTGAGTGCAGTGGCGCGATCTCGGCTCACTGCCACCTCCGCCTCCCAGGTTCAAATGATTCTCCTGCTTCAGCCTCCTGAGTAACTGAGATTACAGGCATGGGCCAGCACGCCTGGCTAATTTTTGTATTTTTAGTAGAGACGGGATTTCTCCATGTTGGCCAGGCTGGTCTCGAACTCCTGACCTCAGGTGATCCACCTGCCTTGTCCTCCCAAAGTGCTGGGATTGTGGGGTGAGCCACCGTGCTCAGCAAATTTTTGTATTTTTAGTAGAGATGGGGTTACTCCATGTTAGCCAGGCTGGTCTCGAGCTCCTGATCTTGTGATCTGCCCGCCCCAGCCTCCCAAAATGCTGGGATTACAGGTTTGAGTCACCGCACCTGGCCATGTTCTTATAAACTTTGTATATCTTTGATGGTTTTGAGTATTCTGCCATCATTAGCAGAAAGCTAACATACCACTTAAGGACCTTACGTTCTCTCCTAAGGGCAAAACAAAGAAAATTACAGATAATTTGTAATCCAAAACTTTTATCCAGAAACTTTTAAGACCACAGTGATGTAACTTGAACGGTGTGTGTCAGGCTGAGTACAGCTTGGTGGGAAGGCAAATATAATCCATCAGGGAATGGGATAGGCCCATTTAGACAATATGGATAAGGAAACCTTGGGCTTTTCCCTGTTATCCAGGATGATTTCCAGGGAGGAGGATTTCCTAAACAGTTTGACCAGAAACAGCTAGGAAGATACCTCTGTGTGTTCTAAAAACCCATGAAGCCGGGACCACCAATAATACTCAGGAAGCAGATTAGCCTTACTCTGCCCTTGGCTGAGTCAGAGCTCCCCTCTGGCTCTCTGGATGACGGTCAATAACAGGTAAAGTATTAGGATTAAGCCTCGGGCTCTCTAATCCAACGTGCCACTTACTAGTAAGACTTTGGGTAAGAAATTTGACCGAGACTGTATTTCTCCATCTGTCCCCACTCTACCAAGCACTGCTCTAGGTGCTGGGGAATACATAGTAAACAAAAGGTACAAAAATCCTCCACCTCTTGGAGTTTACATTCTAGTATGGGGGAGGCAAACAACTAAAATTTATGTATATGGTGATACATGTTTTAGAAAAAAAAGGGGGAGGCTGAGGTGTTTGGGTGGGGGTGGGAGCTGTAATTTTATTTTATTTTTATTTTTTTGTGACAGAGTTTCACTCTGTCGCCCAGGCTGGAGTGCAGTGGCAGAATCTCGGCTCACTGCAACCTCCGCCTCTCAGGTTCAAGCAATTCTCCTGCCTTAGCCTCCCAAGTAGCTGGGATTACAGGCATCTACCACCATACCCGGCTAATTTTTGTGTTTTTAGTAGAGATGGGGTTTCACCATGTTGGCCAGGCTGGTCTTGAACTCCTGACCTCAAGTGATCCACCCGCCTTGGCCTCCCAAAATTCTGGGATTACAGGCATAAGCCACCGTGCCTGGCCAGCAATTTTAAATAGGGTGGTCACAAAAAGGCATCACTGAAGGTCATGTTTGAACCAAGACCTGAAGGAAATGAAGAGTGAGGTGTTCTAGGGAGGTGTCTGAGGGAAGAGCCTCCCAGACGCTAGATTTTGCAGGGCCTTGTAGGCCATTGTAAGAATTCAGGCTTTTCCTTGAGTGTGGTAGGAAGCCATTGCAGAGTTTTAGGCGAAGGAGTGACATGATCTGAATTTTTAATAGGACCACTCTGGCTTCTATGTTGAGGAGCAAAGGTTGAAGCAGGGGACTAGTTGGGAGATGCTTGCAGTCCTTCTTGCAAGAAATAATGGTGCTAGACTGGAGTGGTAGTCAGGAGGTGGTAAGTGGCTGGATTTGGGATATATTTTTAAGACTGAGCCAACAGGACGTGCCGATGGATCAGATGTGGGGTCTAAGAGATAAAGTGGGAGTGGAGGATGACTCCAGTGTACTTGGCTTAAGTAACTGAAAGGATGGAGTTGCCCTTGGGCAGGATGGGAAAGATCGCAGGAGGGGGGATTCTGGAGGGGAAGATCAGGAATTGTTTTGGACATGTTAAATTTGAGATACCCATCAGACACTGAAGGGGAGATGCTGAGTAGGCAGTTGGATCAATAGATCAAGTTAAGCAGTGAGGTCTGGACTGGGGATGTATAGATAAGGGTTGAAGCCATGAAACTGAATGAGATAGGAGAGGAGCCAGAGAAAAAGATGTGGTCCAAGGACCAAGTGACTTTCAGATACTGGAGAGATGTGAAATCAGCGCAGGAATCTGAGAACAGTGCAGTGAGCTAAAAGCCAAAGTGAGACCAACCCTTCCCATAAAAGGGAGCAAAAATTTGGGATAGTATCTACAGGTGGGATTGAGACAGAGATTTTTTTAACATGACAAATGGGGTAATACCTACTTTACACGGCTGTGGTAGGGATAGAATGAGATAATGTTTGCAGACGCTTAGCACAGTATCTACTAATATAAGAGCTCAACAATTGATACTTGGTGATATAATAATTCACCCTAATTGCTATGATGCAAATAAGCACAAAATTAAAGTGTTTCTGGGCTGGGTGCGGTGGCTCAAGCCTGTAACCCCAGCACTTTGGGAGGCCGAGGCAGGTGGATCATGAGGTCAGGAGATCGAGACCATCCTGGCTAACATGGTGAAACCCCGTTTCTACTAAAAATACAAAAAAATTAGCCAGGCCTGGTGGCGGGTGCCTGTAGTCCCAGCTACTTGGGAGGCTGAGGCAGGAGAATCACTAGAACCCGGGAGGTGGAGGTTGCAGTGAGCCGAGATCGCACCACTGCACTCCAGCCTGGGTGACAGAGTGAGACTCTGTCTCAAAAACAACAACAACAACAACAACAACAAAGGTTCTAACCCAGCTGGCCTTTAGGGTGAGGAGAGGATAGCTAGAGATCAAGTTTGAAAGAGGAGTCAGCAGCTGCAGTGTGGGATTCTCCTCGCAGGCTGCATTCTAGAGGTGCCGTTTGGTGTTGAACCTTTGCCAAGGAGCTGGGCTGTCTTGGTGCAATGCCCTTTCTGGTAAACTTCTAAATCCCTCTTTTCCTAATTGTAAACAGGGGAACTGAGTTCCTACTTTTTTTTTTTTTTTTGCATCAGACTGTTGCCTCCCAAGATTCAGCTGTCCAAAGGGCAGGTCCCTGTTCTCAGTAGGTGAGGGAATAAAACTTGGACACTGGGCCATCTCAGAACACATTTCAGCCGCACACAAGGGATCTGGAGACCAGATCCCTTTCTTCCTGGTTTGATGATTGGTGGGGTCTTCCTCTGAGCATCCTGAACATATTCATTTAATAAGTATTTATTGAGCACCTGCTGTGTGCCAGGCACTGTTTGATGTGCTGCAGAATAGAACAGCGAATAAGAGACAAAAGTTTCCACCCTCGTGGAGCTTATATTCTAGTGCTTTATGTTGAACAGTAAGTGTGGAAGAGAAATAATAAAGCGGAATGGTATTATGGAATATCAGGGTAAGGATGAGGTCAGTTTTGAATAAAGACCTGAAGCAAGGTCACTGGCAGTGATATTTTGGGGAAGAACATTCCAAGCAGAGGTCATGGCTTGTGTGTGGTGCACGTGTTAGAGGAACAGCATGGGCTGGTATCGCTGCAGTGGAATGCACCAGAGTCCAAGCACGGAGGTGAGTTTAGAAAGGCATATAGGAGATTCGTAGATCACAGCAAATGGTCTGAGTGAAATTCACCCACCAGGGAGTCTTACATAGGCTACCAACCACTGGTCCTTAGGAATTAGCCCCCTTTCAGCCCCTTCAAATTGCTGTCAGAAGGAATGAGGTGTAACTGCATGAGATTTGTGAATCATCAGCCTCTCTGTGGTGCTGAAACCCTCCAGTGGACCATCTCTGGGAAGGCTGCAGAGAGGGACAAGGAAAGGGCCCCAGGGCAGGTGCACGAAGAGACTTCAAGGAGTAGAGTGGCTCTCTAAACCTAAGGTTCCAGGCACTAGGAGCAAGTGAGGGATCCAGCCCAGGGAAGGGAGAACCCTCCCCCCAACCAGGTATGTAATACCTGAGAGCCTGCCCAAGGCTTGGCTTCAGCTGCCTCCTGCAGCTCGCATCCTCTCCCTTCCTCCTCTGTGCCCTGCATTCCAGTAGGTACTTGGCGGCTACGGTAGCAGCGTGGCCTTCCCTGGGGACTGAGATGCTATTAACTCGGGAACTGCCCAAGCACGGAGGGTGAAGCCACATCAGTGACCCTCAGTTTAATGCCGCTGTGTTCCTCCTGTGTCCCTGGATTGGGGTAGGGGGTGCTGAGATGTCACTAGTGGTAAATGTGTGTTGAGGGGAGGAGGGAGGAGGGAAGATGGGCTAGTGGAGGGTACAGGGGAGAAGAAGGAGGAGGGCAAGGACGCATCAGCATAGAGGGGACTTGGAGCCAAGTTTATGGTAAGGTGGAGGGCCTAGGCTTCCGCACATGCTTGGACTTCAGGCTGGAGTCCCTGAGCCTCAGCCCCCTCCCCTCTTCTTCCTCCTTGAAGGCCTACAGAGCTATGGGCTGGAAACCCCCAGGTGGTACAGATCAGATCTGAGCCAGTCTCTCCTGGACTTTTTTCATCCAAGTCCATATCTGTTTTTCTCATGAACCCGGAAACCCTTTGAAGGCAGGAACAAGGTCCTCCAGTCTTTCACTACCAGCTCCTACTCCAGGGCCAGCACACCGTGGGTGCTGAAACTCACAGATGACCTTCCAAGTGGCAGACCCTGGCAAGACACTGGGTGTGCTATACTGGGATGAGCAAGATACAGGTGAGTCCTTGCCACAGTTGTACAACGGCTCAAAAGGGATTCACCCAAAGTTACACAGTAGGTCAGCATCCTGCCTCCATTCTTAGGTTCCTCTCACAGATGTTCCTCAAAAATGCCATGCCATCCTAATGCTCAGAATTCAGGTGCCCAGAGAAAACGCCCTATCCTGCCTTCCCCCTCCAGATCCTCTGTCCTTCCTGCCTGGGCAATGGAGGCCCAGCAACAACTGCCCCATCCACAAGAAGAGAAGCCCAACAACTCCTCTGTCCTGGTTAACTCCGGGATAGAGTAACTCCGATATCCTGGTTTGTACCCAACCTGGGAGCTTTTATTTACAGAAAGGCCTGGGCGGATCTGGGGAGAAAGGGGTGGGGAGTTATGTGAGAAAGAGAAGGGAGTTGATGTTTAAATACTCAGTTGGGAGGCAGGAAAGGAAGTAATGGGGCTGGCTTAAGGGTATAGCCGCCTCAGGGTGGTCACCCAGCAGCAGTCACCTGATAGGTCAGAGAGGGAGATGGGCTCAGGAACTGGCAGAGACCTCAGTCATTAATCCTCGAGCTGAGGGGTGGAACTGTAGCTGGGCAGGGCCCAGGCCTCCCGGGGTGCCCACGTCCCACTGACCCAAGGACAAGATGGCCAGTGGAGAATGGTGCAGATTGCGATGTTTGTTTTGGTGACAGCCGAATGATGCCCCCTGGAAGGAAAGCCACCCCATTCCTGCAGAGCTTCGACTCCATCGACACCACTTGCCCTGTGTGTTGGCCTCACTTTTTCACCCATCAGTGCTCTCCCCCCACTTCCCCGATGTTTTAGAATTCCTTTTCCTCAGGACTCCTGGGTTCCAGACAGAAGGTGCTGGGGGAGATGGTTTCCTGGGTTGGGGATGGGTACATGTCCACCCAGAGGGGACCTGGTCCTCTCCCCCAGGATGCCTGCCGGGCTCTGTCCGGGCCTGATGCTCAAGGCCCCTTGATGGATCCGGGCTCTGCAAGGCGGGCAGAGGCATAGGCCGAAGCTCCAAGGCAGGCTGCAGGTTCACAGAAGCCTGGCAGCCCTACGGGGCCTGGCAGCCCAGGTCGACCTGCCTCTCCTGGAGCCCCTGGGGACCCTCGATCGCCATCCTTGCCGTTGATTGCCTGGCCAGGCCGGCCAGGGAGTCCTGTGAACAGGAGAAAGTTAAGACATTAGGGGTGCCTCTTGCCTCAGACCCAGAATTTTGAAGGTGGAGACATTTTTCAGATGGAGAAAATGAGGCCAAAGACACCACAGGAGAAGGGACTCTGCCCCAGAGGCAGAGATTACGTGATTGTCCCCTACTCCCAGCTCCCAGTGAGTTTTGGGAGCAAACGTCCCTTCCGTCACCTTCGTAAAGTGATGGTGGTGGGTCCTGGGAAGTCCTGAGAGGTCCAGCTTCCAGAGCTAGAACCACCCAGGGACTCCCGGGTGCTCCAAAGGGGTGCAGAAGCGGGGTATCAAGGACTGAGCTGGCTGAGCATGTAGTCGCCATGGAGGAGGCCCTGGTGTCCACGTGTCATTAATTCCCAAGCTGAGGAACACACTGTAGCTGGGCAGGGCCAACAGCTTACCTGGGATCCCTGGGGGCCCAGGCATCCCGGGGTGCCCCCGTCCCACTTCTCCTGGATCACCCTTCTCTCCACGTTTTCCTGTAGACAAAAAAGGGAATCTTCATTTTTTCAGAATTGAAAAATGCTTTTCCTCTATTTTTTGCTATGTTTCACACACAGAAATTATTCCTGTTTTGTGCTAGTTTATAATAGAGGAAAGTTGGAAATGATCATGCAGGGCTTGTTAAATAAAGGAAGGTGCAGACAAAGGATGGAAGATTATGTAGCCAATAAAGTTTATTACAGGAAAGTAAGCATAACAGTATCTCGCATTTACTGTGGATCAAGCAGTGAACTAAGACGAACGCTATATGAACTACTGTCCTCACTGCTACACTATGAGGTGGGTACTTTCAGTGTCCCCATTTTACAGATGGTAAACCTAAGGCCCAGGGAAATTAGTAGGTAACTTGTCTGAGAGCCACGCTGAGAAAGGGGAGTCTGGATTCACACCCATGTGTGGCTCCAGCCTGCCTGCTTGACTGCTCTGCTGGTCTACCACCCCATCTCTACTGACATGGAAACATGCTTATGGGGTATCACAAAGCACATTCAAAAACAAACCCCAGAAACCCCAAGTGATAAAAATAGTACATTCATTTCCATCCATTTGCTACTGGGAAAGAAAGTCCAGGAGTGTCTCCTGGACTGTGTGGCTGAGGGACTGGGGAAGGGTCTGTATGTCATCCTGGGAAGGGAATGGGGAGAGGGCGGGCTGGGACAACCCCCGCTGCCTGGCCGCCACGCCCACTGCAGAGGAGCACTCACCCTTGGGCCCCGTGTTCCCGATCTGACCCACGGCTCCCACGATGCCAGGAACACCCCGAGGGCCAGGGTGCCCATGGGGTCCCTGCTTGCCTGGGTATCCAGGGGGCCCAGGAGGTCCTGGGGGACCCACCATGCCCACCGCACCCAGGGCTTCCCGCTTGGCACTCACGGCGACCTCAGCCAGTTGCTCTGGAGGGAGGAAGGGAGAGGGAGGTCTATGAGGTGGGTGTCAGCAGTAACACGAGGGGAGGCAGAGCATCTGTGGGCCCTGGCCCCTAGGTTTGCAGACAGCAAAGCACCATGTTTAAGTTCCCCCTTCCTTGGGCTCTGTTTTGCGGAAGTCAGAGGCCCAGAGTGACTTATTCAAGGTCCCGAAGCCCTTCGGAGACTGGGCTGGAAGGAACCCCAGGACTCCAGATTTTCAGACAAGTGAACACATGGAGGCTCCGGGAAAGGGTGAGGGGGCGACGATGCCCTCGAACGGACTGTGAGGAGGGGTTGCTGCCCTCACCTTGCAGCATCTTCAGCGCCACATCCACGATGTGCTGGTCAGTGGCATCCCGGCCCTGAAAGCAGAGGCCGTTCAGGGAGAAGCCCCTGGCTGCAAGGGCCCACCGCTCCTGCTCCCACCTGGCTGAGCGTGAGGCCGCCATGGAGGAGACTCTGGTGTCCAGTCATAAACTGCCAAGCTGAGGAACAGACTGTATCTGGCAGGGCCACGGGCTTACCTGGGAAGGTCGCGGGGTAATCCCTCAGGCTGCACTCACAGCCTTCCTGTCTGCTCTGGGCTTGGAACCAGTCTGGGGGAAGTCGGTGAGTCTCTGGGAACCCCTAGCCTTTGGCGGGTAAGCTGCACCCCAGAACAGATCTACCTAGAAGAATCACCCCCCACCCCGGGGCCCAACTCACCGCCACGCCCTGTCTCCCGGGCTGTCCTGGAACGCCTCGGTTCCCCACCAGTCCTCGAGGGCCGGGGAGACCAGGGTAGCCCTGAACCCCTGGGGCGCCCGCATCCCCACTGGGGCCGGGGTAGCCGGGTTCTCCACGTACTCCTTGCTACGGGGGGATGGGGTGGGATTAGAGCCGGGTGAGAAGGCGCCCGGGGCGGGGGTGGGCGAGAGTGGGGGGTGGGGGTCCAGGAATTGGGTGGGGCTGGGAGAAGGGAGGGGCCGGGAGAGTGGAGGTCCCAGGGCTGCCCAGGAAAGTCGGAGAACGCGGGGAGGGGAGGACTTGCGGCGTCGGAACGGGAGGATTCACCTGTCCCTTGGGCCCCGGCTCGCCGGACTCGCCCTGCAGGCACAAGGAGCCCCGGTCACGAAGCGGTGGGGGACCCCAGGGCCAGCCGCCGCTCCCCGCCCTTCCCCAGGTCGCGCGCTCACCTTCTCGCCTTTCTCTCCAGGAAGGCCGGCCACCCCCGGGTCACCCTGCAGAGAGAACCACGGGTCGGACGCGCGGTGGCGGTAGCGGGGACGAGGAGCAGGGTTGGGCGTGGCTGGGAATAGGGGCGCTGGGACTCACCACTCCGCCGCGAGGCCCGGTCTTCCCTGGGGAGCCCTGGAGAAAGCGTGGAGTGAGGGGTTTGGCGAGTTACCCCCTCCACGGGGTCCCCCACCTAACTTTCTGCCACATCCCTCTTTCCAACTCTGCCTCGCCGACCAGACCAGAACCCTGCGACCTGCAGGTTTGGAGGCTCCGGAAGGACCTGCGTCCTGCCGACCCCACTTCCCCTGTTTTAGGGCGCCTTTCCCAGGTGTTTCCCAGCCCCATCTGGTACCTTGTTTCCTTTGATGCCCGGCAAGCCTTGGGGCCCTGGAATTCCAGGGGAGCCCTGCTCGCCCTTAGGGCCCTGAGGAGAAAAGAAACCAAAGGAATAAATGGAGTGGGGGGCCTGGATATGATGCCCTGCCCACCTCAGCTGGCCTGCACTCACCTGCCTTCCCTGAGGGCCCGGCTGCCCCACTGGACCCCTCTCGCCCTGGTCACCCTGAAATGGAAAGAGAAGGCCACACCCTCAGCAGCTCTCAGCAGATGCAGCCTCTCGCACCCGGGCCTGACACGGCTTGGTCAGGGTGCCCTCCATTTCTGCTGTCACTGGCAGGGGGTCCTTTGCTCCACTTGGCAGACCAGCAAAGGAAACCCAGGCCATGCCTGGGGAGGCCTCTCACAGGCTAGGCTGCATGGAGCAGGTGCTGTATCCAGCAGTGCCAGCTGCTGCAGAGGCCCCTGGCGAGGGGCCACTGTGCCAGGTACTTACCTTCTGTCCCATGATGCCCTGAGGACCAATTTCTCCTCGAGGCCCTGGCTCTCCCTGGAGGAAGGAGAATTTGGGGCTAAGCATTTGACCTGGTGGAACCCACCGTTCCACACCTGGCCAGTCCCTCCCTACCCTTGGGTCTCAGCTACTTTGCTTCATCAGGGAAGGCTTCCCAGACCCCCTGTTCCATGCCTTTGGGTCCCTGTAGTTTTCCTTCAAAGGATCCAACACAATTTGAATTACTTATGTGATCATTTATTTCATGTCTATTTCTTCCATTAAACTATACCCTCCGTGTGAGGAGGAGACTCATAGTTGCAAGTATTTAGTGAATGTTTATGCAATGAATAAATGCATGAAGAACTCTGCCTGCTGGATTCCCAGTCTGTCAACTTGGTCATCTGGGAAGGTCACACTCCAGAACAGAGCCAGTCCCCACCCTCCCGGCAAGGTACATAGGGAAATGGGCCCAGAGAGGAGAAAGAGCTTCCCTGGGTCATCGGGTCAGGGCAGAGCCAGACTAACTCTCCCTAGGTTAGGGCTCCACCCCATGGCCTCACCCTAAAGCAGGAACCCTTTTGTCAGTGGAGGGAGCACTTACCTCTTTCCCAGGGGGACCAGAGAACCCAGGAAGGCCCTGCGGGCCCGGTTCACCCTGCAGGAAAACACAGTTCTCAGGTCAGTCTGGGTGACCCAGTCAGGCCCTTGGCCTCAGGGAAACCCAATGAAGCCTGAACAGAGCCTGGAACCAAATGAGTTGGGGAGGGACAGAGGGTATTCTTGGTTCAGTCCTCTTGGCTCCTGATTTTCCTGTTTGTTTCTCCTCTGGATTTAAAGCCATGCCATCCTATCTACACTGAGGCAGGCTGAGGAGTGCATGATGGGTGGGAGGTGGCAGGAGGGAGGTGGTTAGGCCCAAGGGGCTTATGTTCAGGCTGAGCCTCTGAGACTTGGCTAAGGC